CAGACTGCACAGACACCACTGCCCTGCCTGCCCTGCCTGTACTATGTGCATTGACTGTACAGACTGCATAGATACTGCTGCCCTGCCTGTACTGCCTGCACTGACTGACTGCACTGCCTGCATTGCCCTGTCTGCACTGCCTGCGTTGCTCTGCCTACACTGTTCTGCCCTACCCTACCTGCCTGCACTGCTCTACCTTCTCTGCCTGCCTCTAACAGCCTGCCCTGCCCATCCTGCACTGCTCTGCCTGCCCATACTGCCTGTGCTGCTCATCCTGCCCTCACTGTCTGTCCTACCCATCCTGCCTGCACTGCTCTGCCCACACTGTCTGCACTGTCCTGCCTGCACCGCCCTACAGTGCCAGCAATGCCTGCACCATTCTGCCTCTGTCCTGCCTGCACTGCCTCCCCGTCCTCCCTGCCCTGCATCCAGCCATGTGCCCAGGGTCCCCATACACCCCATACACCCCACAGCCCAGCAGCCCCTGCCTGTTCCCTGCTCGGAACGCCGGAGCCCCGGGAGCCCTGGGCCGTGGCCAGCCGCCCCCGCAGAGCGCTGGCCCGGGGCCGGGGGCTGGGAGTCCCGGTGCAGGGCCGTGCCAGCGGTGGCTGCAGATCTCATCATGGTGGGGGCTGCCCCGGGGGGGCACCACGGGGGCCAGGGACGGCCGTGCCGCGCAGGCAGAAAGCGTCCGGCAGTGGGATGGCGGGGATGGCATTGCCCCTCTGCCTGATCCTCGCTGTCACCCTGCAGGATGGCCTGACCCAGGCGCCGGGACCCCTGGCGCGCCCCGGTCCCGGCCCCCTGATCCTGCGGCTGCGGCGCCTGGAAGAGCAGGTGGGTGCAGCGGAGGGGAGGAGGTGCTGCCCAGCCTGTGCCAGCGGGGCACTGGGCATTTTGGGTTTGGCAGGGACCCGGCATGGGGATGTGGGCTCACCCCACCCCATCCCACTCCCTTGCAGTTTCTCCGGCTCCAGGAGGTGACGCTGAGCCATCTCCAGAGCATCGCCAGCAACTACAACATCTCCTATAACATCGATGGGCGCTTCCAGGAGCTGGCGGAGCAGGCGCAGGCGGCTGTCGCTGCCCGGGCCGCCCTGGGTGCCGAGCTGGCCCGTCTGGCCACCACTGGCCGGCGGCTGCACCGCCGGCTGAAGCGGCTGGAGGGGACAGTGAGTGCCCTGAGCCCACTGCACCGCCCGGCCGCCCACGCACCAGGTGCACCGGTGGAGACTGGCACTAAGCCACAGGGCCTGCTGGACACTGCCCGGAGCCGGGACAGCCACCTGAAGCAGGAGCCACCGCGCCAGGCTGCCCCCAGCACCCCCAGCCCTCGGCGCCCAAAGACGAGGCGGTGGCAGCAGCGCCGGCAGGAGGAAGGGCACTGGCTGCCGGCTGATGCCAGGCCTGGTGGAGAACCCACGGGACATGCAGAGATCCCTCGTGATGCAGCACCGGCACCCCAGCCCACGGCACCGGTGCTCCCCCCCGTGACTACGGTCCCCCGAGAGCAGCCCCCAGCCCTCCAGCAGCCAGAGGAGGGCAGGTACGGCCCCCTTTCCCCTGTGCCCACCTCCTCTGCCTGCCGGGCCGGTGCCGTGCTGCTCTTCCCCAACACCTCCGCGGGGCACGGGGCTGTCCTGGCGCTGGGGCCACACCGGGGGCTGCGGGCACTGTCGCTCTGCTCCTGGCTGGCCACTCCAGCCCCCCGCCTCGGTGCCCTCCTCTCCTACTCCACTCAGTTGGGCCGCAGCGAGCTGGCCCTGCGTGGCCGTGGCGGGGATGTCCCCGGCTCCGCACGCTTCATCCTGGGGGACGGGCAGTTCCGGGAGCTGCCGGTGCAGCCGCTCCTGGGTGGCGAGTGGCACCACCTGTGCCTCACCTGGTCCTCCGGCCAGGGCCGGTACCGCTTCTACGTGGACAGGCGGCTGCTGGCCGCCGGCTCCGGCTTCCAGCAGGGCTATGAAATTCCCGCTGGGGGCTCGCTGGTGCTGGGCTGGGAGCAGAACGGCCCCAGCAGGGACTTCGGCAATTTTGT